ATTAACTGTGAAAAGCTTAGCTCAGTTTCTCTAGCCACACCCAGGCCTGCTCACTGCCACGCCTGTTCTCAATCGAGAAATCATTTCAATAGGACCTGCCTGACAAAATGGAGTGGACCAAAAGATCCTCAAAAGCCAGACATCGTGCTGCGATCCAAGGAAATTCAGGAACAAGTGAGAAACAAAACAACTGAGATCTCTCAGTGTGGAAAAAGTTATAAATCCATTTCTAAAGCTGTGGGACTCCATAAACCACAGTGAGAGCCATTAACCACAAATGGCAAAAACATGGAACAGTGGTGAACCTTCCCAGGAGTAGCTGGCTGACCAAAATTACTCCAAGAGTGCAGCGAGGTCATAAGAGGTCACAAAACCCCCCAAAACAACATCCAAAGAGTTGCAGACCTCACTTGCTTCAGTTAAAGAGAGTGTTCATGTGTCCACCATAAGAAAGCCACTAGGCAAAATTAGCATGCATAGCAGAGTTGCAAGAGGAAAACCACTGCTGAGCAAAGAAACATAAATTCTCATCTTAGTTTTTTCCAGAAAATTTCTTGATGATCCCTAAGACTTTTGGAAAAATACTGATGGGACTGATGAGACAAAAGTTTAAGTCAAAGTCCCGACCTGAATCCGATTGAGATGCTGTGGCATGACCTTAAAAAGGCGGTTCATGCTCGAAAACCCTCCAGTGTGACTGCATTACAACAATTCTGCAAAGATGAGTGCGCCCTTCTTCAACAGTGCTTCATGAGACTCACTGCTAAGGGTGGCCCAACCAGTTATTAGGCTTGGGGACAATCACTTTTCCACACAGGGCCATGTAGGTTTGGATTTTTTTCTCCCTTAATAATAAACACTTTCATTTAGAAACTGCATTTGGTGTTTACGTCTGTTATCTTTGTCTAATATTTACATTTGTTTAATCCTCTCAAACATTTAAGTGTGGCAAACACAAAAAAAACAGGAAAGCAGGAGGAAGGCAAACTTAATATTCAGGTTTCTAGCACGATGTAGAGTAAGTGGTCAGTGTTTTTAGACAAGTCTGTGAAACAACCACCACAGCAATCTGCTAGCAAAGCAATCACAAGGAGATTTTTGCCAATCAGTTGGGGAATATAGATTTTTCCCTAGACCTGTCTGAATTTTACTTTAGGAATCGTTTTCCAATAACCGCTCACAACCACTCAGGGGAATAGTCATTTTCCCCTAGATTTCCCCAGCACTGGTCTCTAGGCCTGGACAACTGCGGGCTTCACTTCATCCTACATCGTCACCCTGATTGTCACACATCCAAAATGATGTCGTAGGGGTGTCTGCAAAACCTCAGTAAACCTATGGTTTAACTCAAACTGGAGCTCATAATTATCAGATGGTTAGGAAAATTCACCACATTGAAAAATGTTTTTTGCTGTAATTCCAAAAAGAAACAACAAACTGTAAAGTAACCTGTCAAAATGCCCACACCCTTAACCATGCATAGTTTTAAACTTTAATATAATTCAGAGCTTTATAAAAATGCATCCCTTGTAAAATGCCCTGAAAGTGGAACTCTATATATCTAATGCTATAGAGGCTAAATAACTTTTTCTGTATCAGGCTGTTTATTTCTGATGTGAAGTAGAGGATTTTAACACGAAAGTCCTTTTTTTCCAGCCATGAACTGGTTTAATGTTTGTGAAGAAAAAAAGAAACTGAAGTGTAAAAACAAAAATGTGTGTTTTTTACCTTGTTGATCAGCTCAGATAACGTGCCACATAACACCCAGTTCCACTCTTAATAAATACGAAGTTAACTGGCTTTTGTCTGTTGCTTTACTTTTAAAAACACACTTGAATGTGTTATTAATGTTCTCATGAAGATCTCGAAGACTCTAGTCACATTTTGCCAAACTGCTGACCTATTTCTTCACATCAATGACAAAAAAACCCACAGCTACAATCAAACAGAGTTTAATGAATGAAATGTGTGACTGGATACACTGATGTATAAAAAAACCCGGCTCAATACACAGAGTGAAAAATGTGTGTGTGTGTGTGTGTGTGCGTAACACATTTGCGTGAATCAGAAGTTCCATATGTAGCAGTATGGTGCTGCAGCTTGAAGACAGGCATGCCAAGTAAATGATCACCAGGCTAATGCACACACTATTTCACAAATATCCTGTATGTACAAAAGTTGCAGGAACTTTAAACCATTTCTTTTCTTTCTGGTGCGTATGGAGTATAAAACCTGGTGAAGGGTTCTCACGTGTGTGTAATAAGCTTTGGTTTGACCGACCGTACATCAGCCTCAACACAAGCAAGCATTCCCCAAATGGTCCTCTCTGGATTTGACCTTCTCTGTGGAGTTTTGTGTGCGTGTGTGTGTGTTTACTGCAAACAGATGTGTAACAATCGTGCGCATTCTCCTGTCTTTACAAAACAGAACTTAAGGAAACTGCTTGTGTGTGCTTGAGTTTAAGAGCGTCAACGAGGCTGCTCACTTCACAGAGATCATGAGTTGTTATTTAAAAAAAAAAGAAGTGGTTGTTTCAGCTTCTTTCTGAAAGCCAGTTTGAAATTGTTGGGTTTACAGTACAGCACATCTGATACATGACAGGGTTGTGATCAGTTATCTGCAATATTTCAAACAAATCCCACTGAGTCTGTCCGCTTAAAGCAGTGACACCAAGACTTCTGGACGACGACACCACAGATTACGGGGAATTCCTCGCCAGTAGAGTATTATACTGTACATTCATGACTCGATATGATGCCAGCCTTTAAGCTAATGTACACGAACATTTATAGCGTACACAATGTTTGTTAAGGTAGACAACTCTGACTCAAGTAGTGAAATAACAAAAAATTAAATTAAAAAAACCCAGAAAAATCTTGTTTGTATATCAGGGCACCGAACATGTTTTCACAGGCCTCTGCAGCCTGCTGATTGGACACAATTAGACATCATTATCTTCATCAGAGTCTTCTTTGTCATCCCTTGTTTGTCTGTTCTCATTCCAACAACACGCTAGCAAGCTAAGACATATGTAAACGCAGTAAAATAAAGAATACAATCAGTTTTTGCTCTTCTGAGTCGATGAAAATGTCTTCTCATTCCACAAATGTCTCCTTTATTTATTTTTTTATGGTTTTTTTGTAGGTTTTATTTTTGTTGGCAAAATTACTTCCTCAAGCTGAACCCCCGTTTGTCCTTCCCATGGTTCAGCCCTGCCTTTGACTTCAAACTCTCGACCGAAGGCGGCGCTGGTCCATCATCGCTGAAGCAGCAGCAGAAGGGTCACCGGGAGCAGGAGCAGCAGGCTACAGAAGCCGGTTTGGAACGCGGCCGCGCCTCTGACTCGGTTGTTGTCCGGTGAGTAGGCATACAATCCTGGTCTGCTACGAGGACACTGGCCACCTACACACATACCGCTTCCAGAGCCGCTGATGTCATCACCTGGAAAACAGAGCGATACGGATAAAACACTGTTAACGGTAAACTGTGAAATAATTCTTTAAAGACCAGTGGAAGCTTTTTTTATTAAATGTCACCTTCAGCTGCTCTTGATAATTGGCCCAATTGTATTTGGGTCCGTCTGAAATTCCTGAATGCAATTAATCTTTTAATTACACCATTCATAGGGAATATTTTGTCCTTAAATCCCAGGTCTCATTAACTCTAGGGAATAAGACCCCCGAAACAAGAGAGCTGGTGCATTTGATCTACTTGCAGAATCAGTATGATATAAAACAACTATTTCTGGAATCTACTTTTACCAGAAGATCACTCACTTGCATCCTGGAAGTCTACATCATTGCCATCCAGTGCATTTTTCAGCCTGTTGCTCATAATTTTGAGTTGCATGATCTGCTGCCGGATGGTCATGTCTGGCTTTGTGATGTCGAGCTCCACTTCTGGGTTGTTGATCTGATTGGCCAAACCATCGCCCATCACTTCTGGAAGGTACCTAATTGGCCATGAGAAGCGACAGGAATAGAAGCATGATGCTCATAGCTTAAATCACTGCCTTATGGCTGTCACATTATCGCTGATGACAGAGCTTGTGTGTGCTCAGCGGACTGTGAGGCATCAATATTTGGTTTTATGGGCACTCCTTAGCTTATCTTAGCCTTCGGGGTTTTCTCAAATGCAGTTAATTACTATTAAATTAAATTTAGTTATTTTTTTCTATAGCACCAAATCACAGCAACATTCACCTCAAATAACTTTGTATTGAAAGGTAAAGACCCTACAACAATACAGAGAGAACCCCAACAGCCAGACGAGTCTTAGTAGAGGGAGTTTGCGCAGCTATATTGTGGTGTTAAAAGCACAGTCGTGCAGCCTGTGGTTATGCAAAAGAAAACAAGTACTTGTGAGTATCCTCAACTGGAAAATACAATACCTAGTCCCAAAGCTTTAAGAAATGGGCACCAGTGGATAGTAAAATCAGTGCTGCAGAAGAAAGAAAAAACTCCGTTCCACCTTTTAAAAAAAATTATATAATTTTTATTTATTATATTTTTAAAGTATTTCATCCAGCAAGACACTGCTTGAGAAACATTAAAAGTCGTGAGGAGTGCTGTGTTTGAAAAACTATTACATAAGCCCTTTGTGACTCCTGATGGAGCTGTGCAAAGTCTGGTTGTGTAATTGGCCTTCTGACTTACACCCCTTTCAGACTGACACCTACGCTGCTGTGTCAGCCACCCCAGCTATGTCAGGAGTAAGCATCTCTTTTCAATTGTGGGCCAGTGTTTTTAGCATTGATCATCAGGGCTTAGTTTTTCCAGACATGGATTATGCCTAATCCTAGACCAAATACTTTTTCCAATCAGGATCTTCAAGTCTAGAAATCTGTGCCTGGGAAACCAGCCGAAAGAGATCAACATGTCCCGGTGCAATGGACGAGCAGGGGTGTGATTTTGTTTAACTTTCTGTTGTAATTAAATAATAAAATGTAGGCATAAATAAGACAAAGTATGCTGTGGCAAAGAACTTATTATGCAAACAAGAAACTAAAACTTCATTTTGTCTCAGACAGCCAAATATCTTTGCAGGCGCGTGAGGTCTGAGTCACTATATGCCTACCACTCACTTTTGCATTTAGGCCTAAAGCTCTCTTTCAGCCAATATATTCATGTATTTTTCTTTATGAAAAGACTCAAACAAGGCAAATTTACAAATAAAACACAATTTCATTAAAAGGTTCAGCCTAAAGCCGCTCTACGCCCATCCAAAAACTCCTCTCCACAGCTTCCTATCACAGCTACCCTGTAAGTGGAGACAGCTGTGCTCTGGCTCCACAGGAGACCGGGGGCGCGGTCGAATAGTCAATTCTGCTTAGGAAGGTCTCTAACTGAGTTAAGCAACCCAGAGGTATCTGCATGGCAGCCATAATAAGAGCCGTTCGAATTCTCTAAATACTTAGAAAAGGTCATTCGATGCTTCATTATCACCTCCTCTGGCATAGGACAAACTGCACCATCCTTTATGAAAGGAAAGGAGATAATGAGATCCCATAACTCATAGCTACTCACCATCCGGCCATTAAATGATTCAAAATAAACTGACAAAGTGATGCAGATCATGTAAATATTAACTATGAGTGTTCCCCAATTTACAGCCTGCTGATTTGTTTAGAATTTTCAACAGCAGGCTGCTAAACCCACAGCTGCTGTAACAGGATCTACTTCTCATCAAGCTATCGCCTTATGTGAAGAACATACTGTGGATTTATATTAGCTCTCTAAATCAAGATTATGCGCTATATTAATTGATCGTTGTGTTTAATGTTAGCTATAGTTCACTTTGCATTAGTTATATCCGCTGTAGCCAGAATCCCCAGACTTTAGGATCATCATTAAAGTAATTTATAACACACACACACACACACACACACACACACACACACACACACACAGAGGACTCTGAATTGGATAAGTGATGGATGGGGGGAATTTTTCTTCACTTATAGACAGGCTTAAAAAAAGGAGGAAATGATGTGGTGAAGTATGTCAAGATCAAGGATCAGTTGCCGGTTTGTTTATATGTTTGGCATCTCCCACTACAGTATATATGGGTGTGTACTTTTTCTCTCCTCCCCCCAGGTGTTTCTGTCTCTGGGTGAGAAAGGTGTGAGAGGTCCCGGGTTCAAGCTCCCAATTCATGTTACGTGCCCTAGCCTTCGGGGTAACCTAAACACAACATGAGACGCGACTCTCAAGAAAAGACCGGCACCCTAACAGCCAAAGACGCTAAGCAGGAATTTATTTGCTTCACCAAAACAACAAACCAACGTTTCCTGCTCTCCCCTGACCAAAAATAAAAGGCAAACAGAAGACAATGTTCTAGTCTATGCTCCTAAACAAGAGACAAAGTGTTTCATCAAAGAAATGGCTTCTTATTCCCATTTAACTGCTACAGTGCTTTGAATTTGCAGTTCTCTAGTTATAAAACGATATTTTTTAAAATGCTCTCGGCTAGCCGCCACGTTACCAGCAATACAAATGAGCTCACGCTGTTCACTAAAGGATTTAAGTGCAGGATTCTCACACAAGCACTCAAAGCTACGAGCAACTGGCTGGCTCAAGGAGAGATGCAAGGTGGCTGTCAGCTGGAGGCTAAGAGGCTGCTGTCCACTCAATTAGCAGTCGCTGCATGTCTCTGCCAACACACACCTTGTAGGAAGGAGAAGGGAAAAAAAACACAGTCCCACTCATACTCTGATGGGAGGAGCCAAACACGTAAACAACATGGCACATAACAAGTAAGATGCACATGTTGTTTTCCCTTATTTGAACAGTGTGGTTCAACAGAACAGACACTCTTCCTTAGTCAGTATGAATTCGCCTTCACAACTTTCTTTCTTCATGACATTTTCCACTAGAGTCAAAGAACAATGTGTAGTAGAAGGAGGAAGCAGGTCCTTTTTTTGACTATTTGACTGCACCCCCAGTGGTGGAAGCAGGACACACCCACAGAACCAAAGATAGATGGAGTCTGATTATTCAAGACCTTGTACTGTATGTGAGGAGAAGGAACTTGTTGTTGCAATTTGGGCACCATGACACAATCCTACTGAAAGAAGATGTGTGATGATGCCGAGTTATTGTTTCTACAGGATTTCTGTTGTAATTTTGCGTCTGATATCTATTGAGCTCTACAGAAAACCACAAGATGTCACTGCAAAGCTGCAAGCGAGTATTAATGGCATATTCTTTATCACACACAGTCACACACAGTCAGCAATTCATCTTTATTTCATGGCCTCTTTCACATTATTCACACACACAGAGGCACAGCACATATTTGATGTTTAGTTGGCCCTAATCCAAGCACTTTAAAGAAAGGGAGGTGCGAATGTGTGTGCACGTGTGAAGCGTGGCCGGATCATCAGATTGTTCTCTAATCCATTTTGCACATGGATTAAGGGAGGCAGAAAAACACACAGGGGTGTGTTCTTTTGTTTCCATGAATACCTGTGTCGCAGGATGTGGATTTCTGCTGGGATTTGGAATCACTGTATGTGGAAGAAATGTAAGTTCGGCACCTTGGAACTGATGCCTGCTTTGTTTTGACACAGGTGCTACAAATGGCTTTCAACGTGAAGAGGAGGCCTGTGTCTCGCAGCTTCATCAGAAGCTGGATGTTTGGCTTCTTCTCTTTAGAAGCATTTTCCAGTTTTTAAGTATTAAAAAGAAGCGTTCTCTTTGGAATGAAACTTCACTCAACAGTCGTTGTTGGGATGAAGGTGGGAAGGGTCTCCGGGTGGACTCGGATATCTAACTGCCTTCCTGCCTTTCAGTAACAAGTGCACGTGGGATTAAGGACTGCAGTCAAAAACAACAAAAACCTAAAAAGAAAAAAGTACACACAAAATAGACTATGAACTTTTGTCTTCTTCTTTCACTTGATAGCTTGAGGGGTTGCCACAACAGATCGTTTGCCTTCATCTCACCCTAACCCCCAGCATCCTCCACTGGCACATCAACCCTCTGCATGTCCTCCTTCACTACATCCCTGAACTTTCTCTGTGGTCTTCTTCTTTTCCTCTTGCCTGGCATTTCCATATTCAGCATCATTTGTCTGATATATCTGCGCATGTCCAGACTAACTCAGCCTAACTTTGTCTCCAAACCCCTCAAATTGAGATGCCCCTCTGAAGTACTCATTTGTCCATCCTGGTAGTTCACAATCAAAATCACAATCATCTTCAGCTCTGCCGCCTGCAGCTCGGCTTCCTGTTTTTTTTGTCAGTCTCACTGTTTCCAAGGTAGTCTCACTGCCATCTTGCAAGCCTTTCCTTTCACTCTTGCTTCTGTCTTTCTGTCACAAATCAGCCCTCATACTCATCTGCACCCACTTTTTTCTGCCTGCACTCTCTTCTTCACTTCTCTTGTGCACCATCTGCTTTGCATGGTTGAACCCAGGTATCTAAACTCATCTACTGTCACGACCTCTACCCCTTCTATGTTCACCTTTCCACCTGTCTCTCTCTCTCATTCACACACATGTATTCTTCTGAATTTCATTCCTCTTCTCTCCAGTGCAAACCCCCAACTCTCCAGAGTCTCTTCCACCTCTCACTTCAGTGTCGTCTGCAAACATCATAGTCCACAGAGACTCCTGTGCGATCACATCTGTATAAGCCAAAAGCCCAGACTTCCAGCTAACTTGAAACACTCCATTTTATTTCTATTCTCAGCTCTGACAGAGGTGACAAGGGTCATATGATCATCTTAGACACACAGCTCTGGTTGTGAGCACAGCAGCTCCACTCATCTGCTGTCCACATCTTTCTTTAAGAGGGGGGCAAAACCAATCTGCAGAAGCTGGCTTAAAGGAAGAAGAGTGTGGATTAACTGAGGGGCTGCACCATGGTCCTGTGTACTATATTAAGGGATTATTTTGATATGTGAATCATACAAAGCTGCTCTAGCAAAGTGCATGAATAAAAACATTTCAAATGAGAATAACAGCCCCATATTAATGCTGAGGATAAATGCAGGGAGGTTAAGTAATAATCTTTATATGATGTATAGATAAGTAAACAGAGAAAAACATATAAGAGGTTAGGTTCAGGCTTGTTTTTTAAAATCAACATTAATGCGCATATTTCCTGCTTTTTTTCCCTACCTGGCTTTAGTGATACCATTCCAGCATTTGTCCTGACTGTTGCCTCCAGGTGCCAGTTTGCCACATAGTGCCAAAGAAAGCTGAATCCAGTACTGACGCATCTCCCTCAGCTTACTGGATAGATCCGATACCTAACAACAAAGAGAGTGCAAACAGTCTTTATAAACAATACATAAAGTGGTGGAGTCTCACTCTTAAAAGCCATGCAAACACCGATAAAAGAAATTCTGCTGAGCTCTTCAGCCGGTCGTTTGCGCTTACATCCATGAAAATCCACTGATGCTTGCTGTCGTTAAGTATGTAATCATTATTTTTAAAGTACACCACACACAGGTGTGGTGTACTTTAGATGTATGCACCTGCATTTCAAGTCTGAGTCCAGCAGTCGGGGAGGGTTTGTACTCAGACGCAGTCAAGGAGCCACTCTTCTTCTTCTGTTCATGAGGGGTGGGACTTCCTGTTCCTGGCTCTCCTGGCATTCCACACGTCTGATACACCTACAAGCACAAAAGACACAAAGACAGATATAAAGATGCACACACCGTGAGGTATTTACTAGCTAAGTTTACATTGGTGATATCTAATTCACCCACTAGATGGCGCCACAGACAAGCATTTGAAAATCTCAGCTCCTTTTGCACTGACAGTATATTAATCGGTATATATTAAAGGAGCAGATCACTATCAGTATATCTGTGGCTAACTATGTAAGCTAATAATGCTCTCCATTCTTCTGACGGACTTATCTGGATGGTGCTACGTTCTTTATGATCCCTTATTCACAAGGGGTCACCATAGCAGCTGTATGTTTCATTTGCCAGACAACCTTCCCCATGCAACCCCCAAAGGGATTCGTTTCTCCTGGTTACACAAATGTGTGAACTAATGTGTCAACCTTTAAACTATGGATCCACCATTCTGTCCTTATATGACTTTGTATGTTCCTTAACATGGGAATAAAACCAGTACAGAAGTAAAAGGTTTGGATGATGAGCTGTTTATTTGGAGATAAAAAACTAATATAGGTGTTGAGTCAGACAAGCTTGCCTTAGCTGTAAAAGCATCCATGTTTTCCTGCAGGTAGTGCACCGCCTCGTAGATTCGAACTGGGATGGAAGAAAGAACCACGTCGAGGCTGGGCTCTGTGCTGAAGCTAGACGCCACCTGGATCATCGTGTCTTAACAGGGGAGTGAGGACAGCGACTTTAACCGGGCAGTGTTTTTAGATTTTTTTGTTTAGCAGAATTGTTAAATGAAGTATTTAAGTGAATTCTCAGAGGATTAGTAAGATTTTCATTGTGTCTCACCTATAAGGTTCTGCCACTCAGGGTTCAGGTCAGCCTGATTGGCCAGGCAGCCCTTCATGACATTTGCGCAGTAGCTGGAGCACGGTTTAGCAGAGGCCACGCCACGACAATGGGGGCAGTATAGCAGCTTCATCAAGGCTCTCTCACACTCTGGACTCAGAGAAACCTGGTATGAGTGAATGGAAGAGTCAGTTTCATTCAAAAAGAAGGAAGTTTATGTTTCTTACAGGGAAAAAGACAGAACAAAAAATATTGGCAGTCACCAGCGCTACCCCTCCGCCTCAGGAGATGCACCTGTGGTGCAAATGTGAAATCCCAGGTGACTTCCTTCTCTAGTTATTGGATTCACAAGATTTTCAAAAAACCTTGTGACCTAACCCTAACCCTTGATGTTGAGATCTGAACTTGTCTGAGATTTTTAGTAGCTGCACCTCTGGCATTATTTTGTAAATCCTATATTGCCTCTTTCTCACGTTATTTCACAAAGTTTGTTGTCCACCCACGCTATTGTCAACCTGCCCCCCTCTGTCTTTCATTGCTAAGGGGTAAAAAACAGAAATTAGTTCCTTCCCCTGTCCTTTCAATGAGGGAACTAATTAAAAAACACACAGTAGAGGGCGCTATCGCAGCATAATATGAAATACAGGCGCAACTGGAAGGCAATGATGACCCTGCCTGTCTGTCTTTTTACAACACTGCTGCTCTCTCAGCTTCTGATTATGAACCCAAGTCGTGAAATGTTGTCAGCTTCACCACGACTGCTGTCACATCTCAGAGTGGGACGCTTCAAATCAGAGAAACAACAGCACACAAAGGTGTGTTTGTCTGATTTTAATAAGCGCCGTGCTCTCTTGCATACCCTCACACATTCATCTCTGTGCATTCTGAAGCTCAGTCAGCACACACTCGAGACCTGCTCGTGTGGAAACAGTCGCTGTCAGCGCGAGGTCTGCGTTCATTTGCGTCACACATTTTTCCATGCGATAATGTCTTTCATGTGTTTAAAAGTCTGCGCTGCTAATGAAGTTTTGACAAAAACTAAACGAGGTGGGCTACATGTGCTGTGATGGAGTGCACAACTTGAGCAGGTTTCAAGAATGTGCTCAGATTTTCATATCAATCAGAAATGAATGGAACCTACGGGAAACCAGAAACATGCCGAGTTTTGGGAAAATGGGCTTAACAGTACCCAATTCCTGCTTTTAAAAAAACAAAGATTTATGCACTGCTGATATACTGGCATCTGGGACGAGTGATGAACCGAAGGCATGCCTTGCTCTTGTTCTTTGTGTCCTAAATCAAACATTAAAAGAGAGGAGGCTGCAAACCATAAAACGCAGACAAAAAACAAACAGCCAAATCTGACGCGCTCCGTCCCCGAGAGATGAGAAAACTGCAGCAAGAGCTGGAAAAAAACAAAAAAAACATCATCACACCCATAATTTGCTGTCATCCCTCCAAGTGAGAGTTTTGTTCTCATGGCAGAGTCTGACACTTCATTTCTGATGATCTTTGTGTTTCTCATTTGTAGGGTGGGGACATTTTCTCTGGCAGCCAGGGTGTGACGATCATGCAGCCATCATCTCTGCTTTCCTGGGACTACGCCAGGCAGGCCTTGGACACACACACACAGACGTTCGTGTTTCCATGACTTCAGTGGACATCATTTGCCTTTCACTGAGTTCATGTGGCTTTACCCTAACCTGAACCATATTTAATTATATACCTCATCATGGGGACTTGCCATTTCTCCCCCAAAGAGGGAGGATCCCAACACCTAAATGAGTATTACAAGCATGCACGCTCACCTGTGAGACCTTCCTGACCACATCTGCGCTGACTAACAGCCCCTGGACAAACGACCTGGCTGTGACAAACGCCCGGATCACCTTCGCCTTCATGTCTCGAGGGACGTCTCCAAACGGCCGCAGCGTCTCCTGTTGCTTAGCAACACACTCAAGGTAGTCCTCTGATAAGCTGACCTGTGAGACAGAGGTGACAGTGGAAGTGGACACACTGCGGATGAAATATGTTGCTGGGTACGCTGTTAGAAAAAATACAAGATCTTCCAGAGCAAGAGCAAAGGCAAAGGAATTCCCCAAACCACATCAAGAATCTCCAGTTTGGCCAACACTTGGGGACCCAACTGGAATTAGCTGTAACATTATTTTCTCAGCTGAGTCAGTTCCCTACACACCTTTTTTATTTTGCGTCTCTGAAAAAAAGGATACTTTGTCTTTACTCACATCTGTGGGTGCAGAGGCTTTGAATGTGCGCTCCAAAAGGCGGGACCAGAACTCGGACAGGTTCTCGTCCAGGTTGAGAGCAGAGCCCCGATAGTACTGACGCAGGTCTGTGTAGAGATCCGCGTACAGACGGCTGTTCTGGGAGTACAGCGGGCCGAGAGGAGACAGCACCTCCTGCAGGGAGCGCTCGGAGCGACCGTGCAGCTCAGTGAAATACACTGGAGGAGGGAAGGAGAAGAAGAGCCTCACCTTAACCAGAACTCCACAACAAGGCGAATTACATGCACATGCTCGACACATCAAGTGTAGCAAACAAACACCTATTTATACGTGTAGTGAACACACAGCAACAGCAATCATCTGGATTTCTGTTTCCAGACACTCCAAAAATGTCCTTTAATTTGAGCTGAGTAATCCATGTGGCTTTCTTTAGCAGCTAGATTCAAGAGCTGGCCGATATCATACCAAACCTGCAGGCTGGTGCTGAGCAGGAAGTGTTACAGTGAGTTTATCAGATGGATTTTGATGAACGAGCACCTGCCAGGCTGTGCATGTGGAAGCTAGTGACTATATTGCTGAGACAGGGCCAAAGTAATGGGGCTATGAACCGTAACTCTAAAAACAACCGAGGTGGACTGTAAAACTCTAGAGAGGTGAGGGGAAGGCGTCAGTTTTCAGTGCGACTTTCTTACTATAAACGGCTTTTTTCACCTCACACGTTGTCATTTGTCATTTTTGTTTTAACGGCCTTTCTGTTAAACAGCCACGATGCAGATGAACTATTTTCCAGTCAACATGCACATTTCGTTTATAATATTTGACTTAAGATTTATTTCGGTTTAATTTATCTCTGCAGACAGATGGATAAAAAGCGAGCGAGAGCCCAACAGGAGAGAACGAGGGAGTCAGCGAGCTGTCTCTGCAGTATACTGGTCTGGGCTTTTCCCTCATGCTTCAAAGGCCATGGACCAGTGCCAGTCTGCTCTAACAACATCCAGATGGACGGCCACGTTACTGCTACCGAGGTGGCCTGCTGCCTTCAGACTAATAATACTGTCCTCTCCTCCTCCTCCTCCTCCTGCTCTCACTTGTCTTTCTCTTTATTTATTTTTATCCTGAAACATTGTTTCTTCTCAGCGCTAATGACACATTTCTCTCTGGTTGTATTCGTCTGTTTCGCTGGTGTTAGCAGCGGCACATCTCAGTCTTCTTCCTCCCTTACATCCCTCTCTCTTCCTCTGATGTGCAGTGATCTGCAGACACGGCTCCTCAGTGGGTCAACTGCTCATTAGCTGAACCAGCCATTGCCCCAGGGGACACCCCTCTGTTTGTGGGTGTGTGTGTGTGTGTGTGTGTGTCTCCCCTGAGATGAGGGGATCAGCTTATCGTGTTTCATTGTTTCTGCCTGACTCCGCTCTCATTATAGCATCCAGTCAGGGGTCCCCTTGACGCACACACGCACACTTTTGTACAGTGACACACACACCCACCCTCTCCAGCTGTAGTATTGAGCGGTGTGCACGGGCAGAGCTTGTAACAAACAAAAAGATACACAACACACTAATGTCACACTGCTCTGGGCTCACTTCTGAAGCTTTGCTATCGAGCTCAGCTAGTAATGAGTGTCTCGCACACAAACACACACACACACAACACACACACACACCGTACTTACTGTCAAAGCTCCTGTGGAGACCATTGAAGACAGCCTGCAGCGACCTGCCGGCCTCTCTGATCAGTCCCTCTGTTTCTTTGGTGCTCAAACCGGCCAGGTCCTCCTCCATTGTGCTGGTACAGCAAGTCGGGCCCTGAGGACACATCCTCAGATGTTCACCTGACGCAGTGAGAGGGACACTAATTAATTAATTGGGCTTAACTGAATTGACATTATCTAATAAATGAACTTGTCAGCTTTCGAACATGTCTGTTTTCCACCATCCCGAACAACCACGAACACCGGGCTTAAAGAAGAGCGAGGTGCAGACGGGAGCTGTAACCGATTCTATTATCACTCATCGGGATGGCAACAGTCAGTTCACCACTTTATCTTCGATTGAAATATGTCAGCTACTGCTGGACAGTATGAGGCCCCCCTGAATTTGCATCTAGCGCCATCTTAGGTTAACATTTGAGTGCACGTTGAGTCTACTGTTGTAATATCTCTAAATCTAGAGCTACAAAGAGGACAAAATTGTATTCTGCTAAATTAATGCGCGCAAAATAACTCACGCTCCAATCAGCTGTAGCTTTGCTTTGTAATTGGCAGGTATTTCCACATCTACTTGCTAACCTCCTCAGAAAGATTAAAACATTAATACCTGCCAAACATCAAGATGTTACAATTACAATGAGGCTAATCTCTACGTAGTGGTGCCGATAAGATGCAGAATGAGACAACAGAAATCTTTCATCTCATCTCAGACATCTTAACGTATTACAAACATGCTTTGTTTCTATTTATTCGACACATGCCAACCCCTCCGGTCTCACATGATTAGCAGGATCTGGCATGTATGCAGATGCTGTTGGACCACTTTAGTTACTGCTGCAGTAGTATTTGAAAACTTCGAAATGAACTTGTATCTGCTGTGTGTTCCTTGTGTGTAGTGCTCTGCTAATATTTGGCTACTTAATTACAACTTGGCTGCAGGACACTCTCTTTCTATGTTTTTTGCCAGAGTAAAGAATTTGGGTGCTTCTCATAAAATATTTATGACACTGCTGGAACCGTTTTATGCATTCAGACAAGATGAGCACTATTTACAGTGTATACAGTATAGCTGATTCATATATAGCACCAACAATGACTTTTTTTGCCCTGCTTTCCCCTCGGACTGTATATTTGTGTGTCTGCACTTTTTGAGGAAGTGTGTAAACTTGATTTAAAGTCTGTAATCGTTTTGTAAAAGTCCCTCGTTGGAGCCCATATTGCATTTAGCATTACTAAACATATTCATTTTCTTTAGAATCCATATTATTTCTGTTTGCAAACAATATTATTTATTTAACAGAAACAAAAATTACCAAGGTCGATATTATCAGCCCTCTGATAATGGACCTTATAATATTTAGCCATAGCAGAAACCACTGCTGTGCAGTGATGCGTTCTTTTGCATTGTAATGCTAAAACTGAGGGTTATCTTCTAAAAACCTCAGCAACAGTTTGAGCTGTCACTTGAGAAATCATCATGCCAAAAGCAAAAGAAATCCATTTAGGCTAAAAGAATTGTTGATGCTCACAAAGCAGAAGACGGATATAGTTATATTTAAGGATAAAGCTATCACAACAATTCCAAGTTGTAAAAACTGGAGTCAGAAGTATCATCAAGACATTCAGAGAGACACACAACACAGAACAAGCCTGACAGAGGATGGAAGCAAAAGAGTTCAAAGGCTCTCTAAAGAAAACTAGTGAGAGACGTGTTTACCAAGATGGGAAAGTCGCGAAGAAGAGAGGTTGGAGACCAAGAAAAACTCCCACAAAAGTGACACGTTCAAGCCAGGCTGAAGTCTGGAAAGATTATCCATACTGGAAGTGCATCCTTTGGTAAAAACTGGGTCCGGGTCATCGCTTTGTCTTCCAACGCGACAAGAATACAGAACATGCGTCGCTCCTGGAGAAGAACTACCTCCCGAAGACCAAAATGAACATTGATTGACTGGGATGTACCGGCCCTGACTTGAATTCCACTGAAAATCTGTGGGCTGAACTGAAGACCAAGGTATATGCCACAAACCATCGAATCTAGAGGAGCTAGGCAGATTCGTCAAAGAAAACCGGGCTGGGATTTCTCAGGAGATGTGTGTGAGACTTATTGAAAACTACAACCACCGACTCCAGGCTGTTATCCAGCTATGCTTTGACCCTGGTATTTTATTTTTTCTGAAATAATTTGGTTTCTGTCTGCAAAGTAAAATAATTTGAGCATCCAGAATAAAACTAGGCTGTTTGGAAAAGCTGTGTTAAAAATTCCTTGCTCTGTTTGAAAACTTTCGGGAAATATTTTTAAAAGAATGACATTTTCATTCCTTTTTTAAGCGAATAATTCGGTCGTTGTCTGATCATGACATTCAAACATCACAGAAATGCAGAATCAAAATGTGAAATTGTATCGCCTTCAGCATTTTATTATTTTTTGTCTCTGGTCTCATGGGGATTCCCAGAAACTGAAAAAATTGAATATTCTTTTCCCCACATACACAAATAAACATTCACAAAGTCTCAAAAGCAGTCTGCAGCATGGACTGGTTGCCTTCAGGATTTGTGTGTGTGTGTGTGTGTGTGTGTGTGTGTGTGTGTGTGTGTGTGTGTGTGTGTGTGTGTGTGTGTGTGTTTATGTGGCTACGTCTGGAAGGGTTAAGGGTGAGTAAGTACCCCAAGGCTATGTGCATCACTGCTCTCTGCCTTCTTAACAGTTTCGGGAATCGGGTGTGTGTGTGCAGGTCTGTTGGTGTGGGTGCGTGCGCGTGTGTGTGTGTGTGTGTGCGTGTGTGTGTGTCCACTGCAGTAAGTGGAGCAGAAGGGGAGATGCCTTCATCATCACTGCTCCATGAATCTTTCATTGGCACTGGGTGGTGTGTGTGTGTGTGTGTTGTTATGTGTGTGTGTGACTCTGTGTGTGTGTATGTTAACCGATAACCGAGAGCGAGATAAATGGTGGCATCTGGATTGCAGGAAATAGGACTTTTGTATCACCTTGCTTCTTTTCTCACATCCTGCTTTTGATATTTGGAATAATGTTTGTTTCACTGCCTTGCACAGAGTCACGGCGTTAAACCCGTCACACGCCCATCAGCTCTAACACCGAGATATTCTCTTTCATTCGGTCTTTAGTGTCAAGTGTAGGTCTGAGATGAGACGCTTCACTCATCTGAGCTTTCAAAAAAATCTACCAGTCACACCTGCTTCTTCACTGAGCAGCGAGCCTCATCATTAACTCGTGTTGGAAGAAGCTCTTAAAAAGAACACTAATCACATCCTCACACTTAAGCTGTGAATTTTCACGACGCCCACAGTCCTTTCAATCTGATTTCCGGCGATAATCACTGAATCCTCATCTTTGTGCGCCGTAATTACAGCCTCACTGCCAGTTATTCCAAACATTCAATCACATATTTAGTCAAATATACACTTTGATATTATATGATCAGTTTGGCCAATTTTCCACACAGCTCTGCAGATTTGTCTCTGATTGGACAGGTAGAAATCATTCATGGGTGCTACTTTTTCAAGCATTTGATAGTACAAATAAATCCTTTACTAAATAGCTTATTCCATTTTAACAGCATTTTAACTTTTAAGATTTTGTATTCAATATGAAAATCTTAAGTGTGCAATTGAAAATTTATTAAAAATTATTTTTTTAAAAACATTCTTTCTGTCAGTGCTTGCACTTTTGGATTTGCACAAACATTTGGGCAAAGCAGTGAAGTAGAAGACCAGAGGCACTTTTTTTTTCTTCTTGCACTTGTTTTCCGCCATATAGTGTATATTTTGGAGATCATTTCCCATTCCCATACATATTTCATTCTCACTACTGGACAGAAAAAGCACAAACTTGGGCTATTTATTTATGGCAAAATTTATGGTTTAGTATTTGGTGTCAATCCAACCTAAAACTTAAAATAAAAATAAAACAGAAAGTCGTCATATGGGCTCTGAAAACTACACCCTGAGGCCATCTTCGAGTGCGCGTGCACAGCAGCTAATGTTAGCATTTCGCTGTCGGTTTGCTTACCGACCGTGAAGACACGGGGGCGTTTTTGTTTTTTGTTGGTTTTTTTTACTACAAACACATACGCTCTACTGCATTCCTGGGTTTCTGGGTAATGGAAGCAACCGGGATCCTGCTATAAAAACGTAATTTATTTGGATAGACAGAAGTGAGTGCAGTGGTTACACACTAACACATGTGTACAAAAAGCAAGCTTGCAAACACGCTCGCCCACACATGAAAGTGCATTTAAAGGAGCCGGGGAAAAAAAGCAGAGGGTCCATCAAAGTGCAGGTTATCTGGGATTAAGCGGCTTGCTCGAGGGTTTCGTGATGGGAAATGGAGAGGCATTGGGCATTTATCTGCACACAGAGGCAGAGTGAGATTGTCAAAATGGCAGAAACTCCTTTTAAGCGAGACACAACTTTTAAGTGCCCCGGAGTAAAGTGGAGCAGGGGAGAGGAGAAATCTGGTTGCTCACACTGTTTTTTGCCCTCGAGCTACAGCATATATTTAGTTAAGTTAGCTTCCTTAGGGGTAAACACACATTTTGCACTAGACTTACGGGAACCCTCACTGACATAATCCATCTCCTAGTGCCCAAGGCCTCTTTCAGATAAGAAAAGCATACATAACACATATATATTTGTGTATATATGTGTTACTTTTCCATGATTCTTTGACCCCGTTCAAGAGTCATGTGACTCAATTACAGGAGGAGAGCTCTAAGTGTTAGCGTAAATACACCAACAATGAGGTGACGTTCCTTTGCTTGAGGAACATTTGGACGCTGGAAAGGGCCTCGTTCTTTTAGGACTTTGTATGCCTGTTACATGTGTCCAGGGGTCTACTGCACACACTTATGTATGCGACATGAATGGAGGTGTACATACTTGTTCAACTCCAACACGAGATTAGTAGAAGCCCGTGGAAGGAAAGCATGAAATGGGAAGAGCCTGGGCTATATGGTCAGTGAAGATCCTCTGATACCTGCGGATAGAGTCATCTTTGAGACCAATGAAATATACTTAAAGGTCTGTTAATATACATGGATGCTGCAACCAAGTAAAGTCTATGGATGAGAAAATCCAGGAATTTACAGGACCAGTTGGGCAAAGAA